CCCGCCACAGGCACCGCTGTTTGCATGGACACAAAGGGTCCCTGTGCAGGGCAGGGCGTGCGGAGCGGCAGCGGGCACATAGCTGCTGGCTGGTACCAGCCCCCATCCCCACTGGGTCCCGCGCCGACAGGCCCCTCCCCGGGCCAGGCCATGGGTCTCAGCGGGTCTTGTGCGGTACCTGGAACCGGCCTTTCACCCCCGACCCTTGCAGGATGGAGCTGAGTGCGGCGGTCTGCCCGGCGTGGGGATGAGGACGGAGACCGGAGCCGCCCTGGGCTGCCTCCTCGCCCAGCCCTGTCCTTTCAAAGTGGCTTTCGTCAGCGTGGGCCATGGGCCCGCTGGAGCTGCAGTGCCAGGGCACCGGGGGAGGGGATTGGCCAGGGGGGAGCTGCCCCGGGCAAGCAGCTGTAGGAAGGGGGCCAGAGCGCAGCCCCGCGCGCGGCGCGGGGGCCTGACCGAGCTGGACATGTCGGACCAGGAGCTCGCTGAGGTCTTTGCCGACTCCGACGACGAGAACGTAGCCAGCGAGTCCCCTGCCGGTGAGTGTGCCCGGCCCGGCCTGCCCCACGCACACAGGACACCCTCACCCCCCTCTGCCTGGCCCTCCCAGCTGGGGGGCCAAGGCAGCGCGTAGTGAGCTCAGTATCTAAACACAGCAGGGCGCTATTAACGGCCCAGGCCTGCCCAGCTAGGGCGGCCCCCCCGGCTGGTTTCCGCAGACCACATGGGCTCAGCACATCCTGCCTGGGGTCCGTGCGCCCCTCGAACTCAGGGGCCGCTGGGGTAAGTGGCAGGGGGGCAGGGGCAGCCCTTTCCTCGTCTGTCCCTCTGGTTTCTGGAGCCAGGCCTTGCAGACACACTCGGCCTGGCTCTCCGTCCCTCCCCCGCGTGGGCCAGGGCCTGCGACCCAGCCAGCCCAGCCCTCCCCAGCCTGCCTGGGGCTCCTTCCCCCAGCCCCACCCAGCCAGGGGCCTGGCCAGCCACAGGATCCTGCCCCCAGCCCAGAAGGGGGCAGTAACACAGCAGGACTCATGGCCACAGGCGCCTCCTGCTGGATGCTCTGGGAACTAGCAGTTCAGTGCTGGAGCACCCCTTTTCTGCTGGGGTCTCGCCCGGTGTTACCTGCTTATGCTGAGCCCCTGCGTATTAGGACCCACGGCCCTCCCCCACCATGGTGTCCTCCCCTCTGGGCACTGCCCTGCTCCAGGGTCCTCCCCCTCCAGGAACCCCCCAATCCCCACCTTGCCTCAGTGACCCACTGCCAGGCTTCAACTTGCCCAGGGGTGGGGAACCTAAGGTGCAGCCCTCAGCTTGCCTGGATCTGGCCCCTGAGGCTCAGGGCTCCCGCTCAGCATTGTTCTGTGTTTCTCACTTGTGTGCAGCCCCGACTCATTTCAGAGCTGCTTCCCCTTTCGGGGCCCGAGGGGAGGCGCTTGGGTTTCAGTTCAGTCCAGGGGCCCCATGGCAGCTGTGCGGTGCCGGTGGGTCCATGGCCCCCAGCCCAGAAGAGGCCCCCCCATATAGCCCCTTACCTGTGGGACAATCTGCAGCTGAACTAGCCACTCAGCATTGGCAAGGGGGTGCAGACCTCGGGCCTTTGCCTATCCTGACTACATCCCTTGGTACCCTCAGGCCCTGCAGCCTGGGAGCTCGCCTGGCCAGAGCACCCCAGCTCCTCCTGCCTTTCCCCAGCCCTGCTCTAGGTCAGGAAGCCTCTGGTAGCCAGGTCCCTCCTATTCCCCAGCAAGAGGGAGTTTGTTGCTCCCCCAGCCCCTATTTATACTGCCTTGAGCTGGGCCCTAATTGGCTGGATCAGCTGCATCTGCTGGCTCCACCACTTCTGCCCTCTCCTGGGCTGGGTTTTAACTCTTAAAGGGCCAGTGTGGGGCAGACGCCCTGACACGGGGCCTGACGGTGTCTGGTCAGATCTACTGACCGGCCCCCAAGGTCCGGTTACTGCGGGTGAGGGAGGCACCGAGTCTGTGCAGATCCCAGCCCTGGCTCTCTGCAAGTGAGGACCACAGCCCCTGCCCAGGCCCACTGGGGGGAAGGGGGTGGAGTGAATGGGGGCGGGGCTCCAGGGGGGGCGGGG